GCAGCACCTGGCAGGCCGCCGGCCGAGCCAGCCCGACTGTCCGGTTCAGCGGACCGGCAGTCCGGTGCAGACCGGTTCAGACCGACTGGACCGGTTCAGTCAGTTATTGTCAGTTTTAGTCCCGGTTCTCAGTTTCAGTGTTATTTTCAGTTAAAAATTCCGGGTTAAGTTCAGTTCATTTAATTAATGCCAGTTCAGTTTCGTACTTAGCCGGTTTCAGTTATACCGAATAAGTCCGAATATCATGTCAGATTCAGTAGAGCATCTTAACATAATTAAACAGTTAAATTATCAGTCTGAGCATAGTCAGTAGTAATTGTTTATATTATTTTCAGTTTGATCAGGCATCAGCACTACCATTCAGTTTCAGTTTCAGCAGTTCAGGTGGGGACTCAGACTAAGTACTACATTGTTTATAATTACACTACCATGTTCGAGGTATGTATATTCAGTATCCGCTCGGAATGGTCGGCGGTCCATTCTGGGTTCTAGTGTCCTAATCTAACCACTAGAGTGTGCACATGGTCCGGTATTAGTTTGTGCCGGGAGATTGCGGTATTAGTTTGTGCCGAAAGATTTCAGTTATCAGTTACGTGACTTATGTCGCGAGATCAGACCGATATCAGATATCAGTTTCAGTTTCAGTTCAGTTATATTTGCTTAGTTCATGATATTGTTATTATTTACGATGTTTACATTAGTATGAGTTTCTGCGGAGCACAAGTGTTTTAGTGCTCACGCCCCCACGTTTTTCATGTTTTTCAGGGCGCAGGGTCGGAGACGAGGAGTGAGCGGGCGGGCTGTTCAGGACTTTTGTGATTATATGTATATAAGTTTTTGCCACGTTTGACTTCCGCTAAAACTTTCAGTACTTATTATCAGTTTTTGTTTCGACGTTAGTCGGATAAGACAGTATGACCGTTTTATTTATCAGTTTAAAATTTTAACGGTTTTCAGAAAAATCAAGTTTTTCACGGTAGCATCCCGAATCAGTTTTTGCAAAATAAGTATTTTAGTTATTTATTCAGAAAATTGCGAAAAATCGTGTACTCTAATAAATTAAAAAGTCGGGGTGTTACAATTGGTATCAGAGCACGTTTCTGCGTCTCTGAAAAGTTTTCAGTCAGTAATTTTCAGAAAAACCTGAACCGTCACGCTCACGCCTCGCCGACTCCAGGTAAATGCTGATTCAGTTTTTCAGTTATAAACATATTACTTTGTCTATGCTCAGAAATCAGTAATCAGATTTAGTTAAGATGCTCAAATCAGATTCAGACTTTAGAGTTCCGATATAACTCTAGAATTCAGTATATTCAGACCTGACTTTAGAGATCAGTATACTCAGACATGACTCTAGACTTTAGTATCTTTCGAGATGACTCTAGAGTTCTTCAGGTTTCGCGTCAGTATTTATCGGCCATTTTTTTTGGCTACTCGTCAAGAGATTTGTGTGCCTCATTAATCAGTCAGAATATCATCATGTGTTCAATAATTTTGAATTTTCTCAATGTTCAGATGCCGCCCCGTAGGGAACCCGATCATCCGGCTCCTACTCAGGCTACAGTGGTCGCCTAGTTCCGCGACTATCATGCCGAAAAGTTCTCAGGGCAGGGAGATCCTCGTATAGTTGACGAGTGGATTCAGGGTCTGGAGTTTATCTTCGAGGTCATGTAGTGCCCTGAGAGATATCGCGTCATTTGCGCTCAGCTTCAGCTCACCGGTGATGCCAGGCTCGGGTGGAACGCTTACTGGAGCATGCGTCCCTGCGAGAAGGCGGGATGTACGTGGGAGATGTTCAAGGATTTAGTCTGCGAGAAATATTACCCCACATACTACCGAGCCGAGATGGAGCGTCAGTTTCTATCGCTCCAGCAAGGTACTCGTACTGTTGACGAGTACGAGAGGGAATTTACGAGACTTGCAGCTTTTGTTCCTGATTTGGTCCGCACGGAAGCCCAGCGAGCGCAGCGTTTCATTGACGGGCTTTACCAAGCAGTCCGTCATAACATCGTAGGCCACGGGACACAGATGTACGCACGTGCAGTCTCCATTGCCCAGGAGGTGGATGCCAGCATTAGGAGGGAGGCCGTTCGTGACCAGTTCCAGCCATCCGCCCTTGCTCAGTCATCTTCAGTTCCACCGTTGCCAGCTCTACCATCTACCCAGCCGCCAAAGAACAACAAGAGGAAGGGGAAAGGTGCCCTGGCAGATAAGAGGACCCGACGGAGGCTACAGCAGATCCCCCAGTGCCCGACATGCGGACGACTTCACCGAGGCGAGTGTCGCTTTGGTCAAGATGTGTGCTACTATTGTCACGAGCCCGGACACTTCGCGAACCGTTGTCCGAAGAAGGCACAACAGCCTCAGCAGCCACCACAGCAGCAGCAGCAGCCCCGTCAGCAGGCACAGAGGCAGCCTCAGCAGTAGCAGCAGAGGGGCAGGCAGCAGGCTCGAGTTTACGCCGTCGATCAGGCTGAGGCCGAGCAGCAGCCAGGTACCATGTCCGGAATGGTTATTCTTAATAATGTTCCTGTGTTTGCTTTATTCGATACTGGAGCGACACATACTTTCATTTCACGACGATGTCTTGACGCCATCGGAGTTCGCGCTACTACCGCTATCGATCCTCTCGAGGTGAGTTTAGCCTCGGGACGAAAGATAGTGACTTCAGCTAAAGCTTCAGATCTTAGCCTTTCCATCGGTGGCCGAGTTTTGTCTACCGACGCGTTTGTTCTCGAGATGAGAGACTTTGATCTTATTCTCGGAATGGATTGGCTATCTTTTTATCATGCGGATATCAGATGTCACGACCGGGAGATTACGCTTTATCTTCCGGGAGACGAGTCGATTACTTTCTTCGGCTCTAGAAATCGTTCTTTGCCTGTTGTTTCGATGGCGAAAGCCACTAAGTTGCTACGACGAGGCAACTGCCAGGGTTATCTGGTGAGCCTTGTCGACGATTCTCAGAAAGCACGTTCACCTCACGATGTTCCAGTCGTTTGAGAGTTTGTGGACGTATTCCCAGACGAACTTCCAAGAGGACCACCTAACCGGCAGGTGGAGTTCTCTATCGATCTCATTCCAGGAGTCGGTCCAGTGTCCAAAGCCCCGTACCGTATGGCGCCTAAGGAGTTGCAGGAGCTTAAGACTCAGATTCAGGAGCTATTACGACTCGGTTTCATCCGACCGAGCGTGTCACCTTGGGGAGCACCCGTTCTCTTTGTTAAGAAGAAGGACAGATCCATGCGAATGTGTATCGACTACCGGGATCTTAACCGGTTGACGATCAAGAACAAGTACCCGCTTCCCAGGATCGACGACTTATTTGATCAGTTGAGGGGAGCCTGTGTGTTCTCAAAGATTGATTTACGATCAGGCTACCACCAGCTGAAGATTAAGGAGTCAGATATCGCTAAGACCGCTTTCAGGACTCGTTACGACCATTACGAGTTCGTTGTCATGCCATTCGGTCTCAGCAATGCGCCAGCAGTTGTCATGGACCTCATGAACCGTATTTTCCATCCCTACCTCGATCAGTTCGTTATTGTCTTTATTGACGATATTCTTATCTATTCGAAGAGTCAGAAGGAGCACGAGGAGCATCTGAGGGTGGTTCTTGAAACCCTCAGACGAGAAAAGTTGTTTGCAAAATTCTCCAAATGCGAGTTCTGGCTCCAGCGAGTATCCTTTCTGGGTCATGTGATTACTCAGGCAGGTATCGAGGTGGATCCTTCTAAGGTTTCAGCTGTTCAGAACTGGTCGACACCGAGGAATCCGTCCGAGGTTCGCAGTTTTCTCGGTCTAGCTAGTTACTATCGCAGGTTCATCGAGGGCTTTTCCAAGATTGCCCTTCCTCTATCCCAGCTGACGAGGAAGTCAGTGAAGTTCGAGTGGACTGACCGATGTGAGTCGAGCTTTCAGGAGCTCAAGAGGAGATTAACTTCAGCACCGGTGTTGACTATTCCCGATCCTTCTCGGAGTTTCACCATCTTCAGCGATGCTTCGAGACAGGGCTTGGGATGTGTCCTCATGCAGGATGGCCAGGTCATTGCGTATGCTTCACGTCAACTTAAGCCTCATGAGCAGAACTATCCGACGCACGACCTGGAGTTAGCAGCAGTCATTCATGCTCTCAAGATTTGGCGACACTATCTTTACGGCGGTCATTGTGAGATTTTCACAGATCATAAGACTTTGCAGTATATCTTTACCCAGAAGAAGCTCAACATGAGACAACGCTGTTGGTTAGAGCTCGTCAAGGATTACGACTGCTCGATTCAGTATCATCTGGGGAAGGCGAATGTCGTTGCTGACGCCCTTAGCCGAAAGGTGAGAGGTGACTTGACGTACGTCATTACTCAACAGAGTCCATTGATTCAGGAGTTTGCCCGGATGTAGCTTCAGGCGATTGATGTACTTCCCATAGCAGTTTCGGGGAGTACCAGTGCCAGTGTCAGTGTTATGCAGCTTCAACCGACGCTGAGAGAGAGAATCCGACGAGAGCAGGCTTTTGACGAGTTCATTCGTGTTATGGAGGCCAAGGTTCGCGCCGGAGGCGTCGAGGGTTTTCAGCTAGGTTCCGATGGTGCCCTAGAGTTCAGAGGCAGGATCGTGGTCCCGAAGGTCGAGACGTTGCGGAAGGAGATTTTATCAGAGGCTCATACCGCACCCTATCTGGCCCATCCAGGGAGCACGAAGATGTATCACGACCTGAAAGGCTCGTTCTGGTGGCGAGGCATGAAAAAGGACGTCGCCGAGTTCGTCAGGAGATGTTTTACCTGTCAGCAAGTTAAAGCCGAACATCAGAGTCCGATTGGCCTCCTACAGCCACTGCCAATTCCGAGGTTGAAGTGCGAGGAAGTCACGATGGATTTCGTTACGGGATTACCGAGGTCGTCTGAACATCACGATGCTATCTGGGTCGTGGTCGACAGATTGACTAAGGTCGCACATTTCTTACCCGTTTCGATGAAGTTGTCTCTGGACAAGTTGGCTGAGATATATACCCGTGGGATCATCCGACTCCACGGAGTGCCCGTCACTATTGTATTAGACAGAGATCCCAGATTCGTCAGCAGATTCTGGCATAGCTTACACGAGGCGATGGGCACGAAGCTAGAGTTCAGTTCAGCCTATCATCCAGAGGCAGATGGTCAGTCAGAGCGGACTATTCGGACGCTTGAGGATATGCTTCGCGCTTTGGTTGTTGACAGGGGTGCTAAGTGGGAGTCGTTGTTGCCATACGCCGAGTTTGCGTATAACAACAGCTACCATTCTTCTATTCAGATGGCTCCTTACGAGGCACTTTACAGTCGCAAGTGTCGTTCCCTTCTCTATTGGGACGACGTCGGAGAGCGACGAGTACTCGGTCCCAAGCTGATCGAGGAGACGGCAGATGAGGTCGAGTTGATCCAGAAGAGACTCAAGACAGCGCAGAGTCGACAGAAATCTTCCGCCGATCATCATCGACGAGACATTCAGTTCGAGGTTGGCGAGCCAGCCTTTCTCCGAGTTCGTCCGATTCGCGGAGTTGTGCGATTTGGAAAGAGAGGGAAGCTGCACCCTCGGTTCATCGGTCCGTTCGAGGTTCTCGAGCGAGTAGGTGAGGTCGCGTATCGATTAGCCCTACCTCCCGAGTTATCAGGCATTCATAATGTATTTCACGCATCGATGTTGCGAAAGTACGTGTGCGACCCCGATCATGTTATTCCCCATTCAGATATTCAGGTTCAGCCAGATCTTTCCTGTCTCTAAGCATCCAGGGCACAGTTAACTCGGTAGATTTATGAAAGTGCCCAGCAACGGGTTCAAGTCATTTCATGTTACCTTGTGCAATTTTAAGGCTTCGCGGGCTAGTTGTCATGGCAGCCCAGGAAAAGCCTCTGATCTACCCTTTCTCTGGTATTTCAACTCCTGATTTGAAATCAACTCTATTCTAAATCTAATATGGATATGGCATTTCTGAGGTACGAGGAGCGACCGGTAGCTGTACTAGATCGTCAGGTTCGTCGGCTCCGGAAGCGAGATATTACCCTCGTGCGTATTCAGTGGGATCGCCACGGAGCTACTTGGGAGGAGGAGTCCGATATTCGCGCTCGTTTTCCAGATTTTCAGTTCTGATGTACATATTTTCTTGTTCTATGAACATAGTTCATGTATTTTCAGTTATGTTCTGAATTTCCGAGGACGGAAATTTTGTAAGGAGGGAGGATTGTAATATCCCGTCAGTTTCAGTATAAGTTATGTTTTTAGTTCCCATATTAATTTTCGGAATTGATTATTTTCAGTCTTTTCAGTCGAAATTGCCGAAAATTATTTTCGACGAACCGTTTACGTTCGGAATAATTTTGGTAATTAGACATTATGTTTAATTAATAATTAAACATAATGAGATGATTAATTTTTAAATTAATCAAGATTAAGGCATTAATGCCGTACAAATTGTCTCAATTCAATACAAATACCGTAAGGCATTTGTTGACAATTAGTGGGATTTACTTCCAAATTATTATAGTATGAGGTGTCTTAGAATTGGTCATTAATTCATGACTAAGCATCTTATGTGATGAGTTAGCCAAACTAAGTCCCCATTAGCTTCCAAATGGCACATGATTAAGCCACCACCTAAACTCCCCACCTCTTCGGCCCCTCTATTTATAAGTTAAGGTTTGGGGAATTTTTCCTCAAATTTCAGCTATATACTTCTTATATGTTCAGCATAGTTAGAGAGAGTTGAGAGGTTGGAGAAGATAGTTCTATCGCTCGTCGCACCACACACAAGAGTGACGCCACGCACCGTAACCTATCTTCCCATCGCACACCGCACAACAGTTAAGCGCACGACAACGCACGCACGCGGAGGGTCACGGCCGTATACGGGAATTCGAAAAGATTACTCACTCGGGCTTAATCAGAGTTAATTCCCGACGGTAGTTGACCGAGAATATCATGTTTATTAAGTTCAATTTTTAGTTAGATGTGCATGCGTGTTACGTGTGGTAAAAGCCGTAGCCGTGCCGATCATGTTATGTTCTAAGTTAAATCCTCCGAACTATCCTCGCATATTTAGCCTTTATATGCAAAATCATGTTTAGTTTAACTAAAGTGTTCGGATGATTAGGCATGTTTGCGGTGTTGCGGCCAAAGATGACGTGGTTGCGCATGTAGCGCACCACGGGCCGTACTCGCTTGTTCAGTATGTTAAGTTCCTTTCTCTCGAGCATTTTTATGTGATTTATTCAGTAGATCATTAATCACGTTCAGTTAAGTTTGAATTGCCAAGGATATATGAGATTCGGTCGTAAAACGGCGCAACGCCGTCGGCGGCGCATGGTGCGTCCGCCGCGGCCAAGGTTCAGTCCTTTGCGTAAACCTTCATGTTTTCAGTATAAATAT